GTTGGTCTGAACGCTCTACAAGAGACATCTTCTGAACTCACCCCAAAGAGTTCGGCCACGAGTGAGGAGGGGTGGCTGCGAGTCCTGATTCGCATCACTCAACGTGCAGGGGATTGACCAGGTAGCGACTTTCACCACGCCTCTCGATATGCAAACACTGTTTCTGAACTTGGAGAAAAACACCATAGACGTCCGGTTATCGACAGCAATGATGTTATGCAGAGCTACTATGTAGCATGTTTTTGACATCTAGCATCAAATCCTTGGCACGGTTCGTCCGCGGAAATGTCCAGTACCTTTCTACTTTATTGCCAAGTTGATAGTAAGTCGAAGTTGCTAGTAGGATTATGGTTATGTGGTACTCGACACAACAGCTACCTTCCGAAACACGGTCGTAGAGTCAAATCACATCTTTGATCAACAGCCATCATAGATGCAAATTGTACGTCAAATTCACCAATTACTTTGTAGTACAAAGACATAAGTCGAACTTTGATTTACAACATGAACAGCCACTCATCACCATGATACTTCGCGGAGCTCATTGAGGATTCGTGCGATAATAATTTGTAGCACTCTAGAGGAGCAAGATGATCAACGTCTGTATTTGTATGGCCACAAAACTATCTAGGTCATCTAAGTCTGCTCTCCAATTGAAAACATATGGTTGTAGTTACACAGTACGGTCAACATCCTGTTGGGGATTGTCCGACAGCAAATGGATAAGCATATGGCCTCCCATCCATGGACCAGCTCGATATCCAATCCCTGTTGTTGACGTCAGGCAGCGATACTGTACGGGGGCATGAGTTTGGTCCAGCCTTCAGCTGCTGTGTGTTGGTACCCTTCCACGGTATCTGTTCAAGGAGTGAGACCATGACGATAGGTTGGTAAGCAACGCCCTGGTATGGCAGACATCCAGATGTGTTGCTAGTCCCATCACATGGAAAACCCTGATTGTAGTCCCAAACATCCGCGCCATAGTTGGCAATCCAAGGGAGATACGGAATAAAAACGATCGGCGACTCTTGCGCCGCCCAAGTGTGGTAAAGCCGGTCAATCTGTACGCTGATGTGGTGTAAAGACTCTTGGTTGTTTGCATTCTCAGCGCCTGGATGGACGAATTGAGACTTGTACAAGGATCTTTCAACGCTTGGAAGATCATGACTAGTCATCTCTAGCTCAATTTTCAGCGATTGATGGTCCGCTGATGATCCGTCGGTCGCTGAGTTCTCCATCCCCGGTGGTTCGTAACGCAAAGTTTTTGCTGTGCTATACAATCCGGTTTAGGCTTGGACCTTGATTCAGTGGCATCTCACGTTTTCGATCTTACGTGGACTTGATGATTCAGAATTCTGGTTTCCTTTGTCGCTTTCAAGGCGCTCACGAAAGAGTCTCTCGATACATGATCGTTGTTTCGATTCATAGAGAGTGTCCTGCCGACAGATGTTTTTTCCTTACGCCTGCTGATTGTGTTGTTTCTAACAATAGTCCAAGGTAAGCCAAGCCAGTGTTTCAGATACAGTGCGAATACTTCAGCCAGACTCTACCCGCCTTCTGCGATAACCTGCGGTCGCGTGTTCCTACAGATGTTGTCCAGACTATGTTATCTCGCCGCCATGCATACATACCAATCTACGTTTAGCTCCAAACATACTACAATCCATGCCAACCACGTCGTATGATTGAATGGAGTGACTACAGACGTATCAGCCGCACGTTGATGACCTATTATTAGTCCATGCTTGCTTTGCTACAGTAGCTACCAATACTAAGTGCTCTCCCGAGACCAGACATCACAGTAGGGCATTACAGGATCCGAGAAAGATTCAGGAGCTCAAAACGAGTGCTATATGCTATGCAAAACCGAGATCTGATGGACTTGAGTTTGAGCTTCGTGCTAAGTCAAGACCGTGGTGGTCGATATATGGGAGCTCCTTCCCACCTTTCCCATACATCTATCTTCCCTCAGGGGTGGTTTTGTATGGAGCAACTTCTGAAAGACGGAAGGTGGACGAAATGATAAGCAGTAAGAGCTCATGATAGCGAACTGCGATAGGTAGCATATCTGTCAGGGTCGCCGGGGCAACGGTTCTATTTTTTGAACAAGAGTCACAACATTACACGCCAAGTCGAGTGTTTCCGGCGTAAATGTCTGGTTCGTAGATCTATTTGGGTCTCTGTTCGAGAAGGTGCAACTAAGAGCGCTGAGTGTGCTGTCTGCTGAGATGTCGGAGATTGATTACAGTGTGTTAACTGTAACAACGTACAACGTGGTGTACGAGCAAAGTAAAGAATGGCTCCGCGTGATTCTGGTGCAGTTTGAAACCCTGCCACAAAACGTCTTGTGACGATGCTGACATCACAGTTCATGAGCATGATGTGACAGAGTTGCACAAGGCACCACGGTCTTTGTCTGAGGACCCAGTATGCGAATAATCTATACCGGCGAATGTGCACATAAAGGTATCGAAGTCTCATTCCCACTCACCGATAGGAGAACCACACATACCTTGGCAATGCTGCTTCGTCCCAACGGACCCGGAGACATTTTCGCAGAATCTTCGTGGAAGCCGTCACTCGATCGATATGTATGCGGAGATACACGCGAGGTGGAGACTGAACAGGACCGCGATATGATCTCACAAGTCCGCGAAGCGCTAGAAAATCGTGATGAGGTTCTAATCATATA